TCCAAGGGAAATTGTACAATGAACGTCTTTAACTGAACTGGATTTTTTAATATTTAGTTTTTGTGTGTTTGTATACGTGTGTGTATGTATGTACTTTTGAGGCAGAGTCTCACTACATAGCGGCGGCTAGCCTGTCTATTTGTAGACTAGGCTGGCTTCAAACTCACAGAGCTCCACACATCTCTGCCTCCCAAGTGCTGGGATTAAAGGCTTGTGCCTCCACACCCAGCTGCACTGGGTTTTCAGAGATGGGTTTTGGGATTTTCCAGGCTTGTGTGTTGTACTCCTTGCTTCATGTCAATGAACTGTGTTATAAACAAGCGGGCCTGGCTGTAGCTTGACTGTCAGAGCTGTCGTTGACAACAAGAAGAACACGTTTGAACAAACAAAATGAGAACGGTGCATTCGGAGAGGCCGTGGAGCTTATGTGCCTGAGCTGGCCCCGAGAGGATTCCCAGGGGGCTTGACATGACAGTTCAGAGCCGCGGTATGTTCTTGGTCTGGGCCCATACACTGACAAGTCAACCCTGTCTTGTACACTAATAACTATAGCAGGCATCTCCAAATGTTTGACTTAAAAAAAAAAAGAAAGAAAGAAACTAGCTACAGCCTTTTAGAATTTATTGGAATCTTTTTGTTTTGTTTTTGTTTTTGAAACAGGGTTTCTCTGTAGCTTTGGAGCCTGTCTAGAACCTCTCTGTAGACCAGGCTGGCCTTGGACTCACAGAGATCTGCCTGCCTCTGCCTCCTGAGTGCTGGCATTAAAGACATGTGCCACCACTGCCTGGTTTGAATATTATTATTATTATTATTATTATTATTTTGGGGGGGGGTTTGAGACAGGGTTTCTCTGTAACTTTGGAGCCTGTCCTGGAACTAGCTCTTGTAGACCAGGCTGTCCTTGAACCCACAGAGATCCGCTTGCCTCTGCCTCCCGAGTGCTGGGATTAAAGACGTGCGCCACTACTGCCTGGCTGAACCTTATTTTTAATTGACATAGTATTTGTACATATTGTGGAGTACGGAGTCATGGTTCGGGACACATGTGCAGAGTGCAGCAGTTGTATCAGGGTAATTAGCAATTCCTAGTGCTTCAAATATTTATCATTTTATGTCTGTTCCAGTTATTGTAGAATATGTAGTGAAATGGTCCTAACTGAAGTTACCTTACAATGCTAAGGAACATTAGGATGAATCCTGCTTTAACTGGATTTTGGTAGCTATTTTCAAGCCCTGTCTCCCTTCCTGTCACTTCTGCTAGCTCCTGGTGTCCTCTGTCCTACAAGATACTCTGAGGCGACAAACTACCTTAGCTGCCACCTGTGAATGAGTACTTCAGTATTTGTCTCTGAGGGCCTGACTTCCCTTTGCAAAATGTCCATTTTCATCTACAGTGCTGTAGTTCACAGGGTTTTACTCTGTTTTTGTCGGAGAATGGATGTTTACATATGACTCAGGTAATGATAGTCTAGATAGGTAGATAGATAGATAGATAGATAAATAGTCACGAGTCGTATTATCTGATATTATAATGGTAAAGATGTAGGTTCAAACCTTCCTTCCCTCCCTCCTTCCCTCCTCCTCTTTTCCTTCCTTCTCCCAACAGTCTTACTATATAGCCCTGTCTGGCCTGGAAATTGCTGTGCAGAACCAAGCTGGTCTTGAACTCACAGAGATCTACTTACCTGCACCACCATCTGTGATTCTTAGGTGAAGTTACAGTTGGTGTGTCAGAGACTGTACCTTCTTCTGCAGCTTCCTAAAGCCAGTCGCTTTGGCTGTGGTCACTATTTCTACAAGAATTTATTTTTTCATTTCTCCTTGAAAGTCTGGAGGGGCTGTTTGATCAAGATTTTCAGGGTGTGGATAAGGGGCAGACCTAAAGCAACAGCCTGGCCTGGCTTTTGTGGGTGGGTGATGGGAGTGGGGTGTTCTGTGACCTAAATTCTTAACGTCCTCCCTTTATCTAGAAGAAACATGGTTTATCATACTTGGATTCTAGCATGCCCGGCAAGGCTGAGGCAAGAGGGGCATGCTTTCTAGGCTAGCCTGTGCTAAACAGGAAAACTTGTCTCTGAAAACCCCCAATAACATCAAAATTTGGATCTCTAAAATAATGGATTTAGAAGTGTTAGGCATGGGGCCTTTGGGAAGAGACCAGATCCTGAGATGTGGGGAACCACAGAGTTCCACCCCCACCCTTCCCATACTGTGTATGGACTCAATAAGAAGGCAGTTTTCACTTGAGCAGAAAGTGACCCTCACACATAGAAGAGCGGGCTTTGACGTGGCCTCCTGGTCCTCAGGAACTGTATGATAAACTTCTATTGTTCATAAACCACACAGTTTACAGGACTTTGTTACAGCTTCCTGGATGACTAAGCCAGGGTGGAGGGACTGACCCTAGCCCTACTCCCTCTGTTTGCCCAAAGTCTCCTCCTGTCCTCTAGATCCTTCCCTTCCAGTGGCCTTCGTCATTGAGGGAGCCGTGGGACAGTTGACCAGAGTGTGTTCTTCCATTCCTCGGGACAGTGACTCTTGCTTCCAGCTGCACAGTATTAGAATCCCCCAGGAAGTTAATCGGAAGCGGAAGTGGAAGCGGAAGCAGCAGGCTTGCCAGTAGAGAAGTCTGTAGTGAGGGCTGGCATTGGTGTGTGTAGAGAGCTTGCCAGATGAATTTCTCAGGGTCAGAACCGACATGCTCTTGACTCACTAAGGCACTGAGACCCAGAACTAGAAACTCAAAAAGGAACCGCGTCCTAATACTGGTTGAAGATTCCTTACCAAAAATGCTCTAAAAATCAGAAGTGTTGGAGATTTGCTTTTAGAGTTTTGGATTGTTTTTCTTTTGGGGGAATATTTCTGGGGATTTAACCCACAATCTCACCTATGTTGGCCCGACAAGCTACCATGTGTGGTAGCTCCTGCCCTGGAATATTTATATACACAAAATGAGATCTGTTGGAGATGAGACCCAAATTTAATGATATAATTAATATATGTTTTATGTAGACCTTATGCCTGTAGCTCAGAGGATAGAGTGTTTGCCTGGCTGTGATCAATTCCCTCATAAAAATACACTAGGAGTGGTGGCCCCCATCTATGATCACAACACTGGGGGCACGGAACAAGAGGACCAGAAGTACAAGTCGTCAGATGGGTGGTGGTGGTACACGTCGTTAATCCCAGCACTCCAGAAGCAGAGGCAGGCGAATCTCTGGGAGTTCAAGACCAGCCTGGTCTACACAGAGTTCCATGACAGGTTTCAAAGCTATAGAGAAACTCTCTCTCTCTCTCTCTCTCTCTCTCTCTCTCTCTCACACACACACACACACACACACACACCACACACACACCAAGTGCAAGTCATCCTCAAACAGGGATTGGGGGGCAGCCTGGACTATTATCTGAGGCCTTGTTTTAAAACAAACAAAAATTGTTTTATCAAAGTATCGTTTGCAATAGCAAAAGCAAGCAATCAGAAGAGACTGTCAATGAGCTTAGGCAAATGGAGCCAGCTGGAGTGGACATTTATTTGAGGGAAAACATTTTACATAGCAGTTGTATTAAGTTATATTTCACATACCACACCAGTCACCTATGTAAAATTTGCCTTTTGGTGATATTTAGCATGTCGTGATTAGAGTAGTCATCTCCACCGTCAACTCTCGAACGTTTTCACACCGGAGACATCTCAAAGCCAATCATAGTCCCCGCAAATTCCTCTCCAAAGCCTCAGTGTCCTTGGTGGGGAAGCCAGGTCTCCCGTGAGTGGTCCTGTTGCTCCTCATGCCTAAGTCACCCTCTCATGAATCCCACTTTTAAAGCCAGCCCCGCGCATACAAGAAGCCTTCTGCCTCAGCTCCTGTTTTGGCTGCCTTCACTTCCCCTCAGTCCTTGACCATGAAAACTTCCTGGTCAAGTCCCCGTGGCTAGCTTAATAGGCACTTCCCTTTTCCAAGATTTGTCGTCCTAATCACTTCCTGTGAGAAATGACGCTACTTGCCCTCTGTGTTGAAATATCACCCGGGCACGGCCCATGGCAAGGTGGGACAAAGGTTGTCTCTGAAGAAAGGAATTGCTTAGGTTTTTGAGGGACACAGTGTTCAGCTTTACCTTCCAGAAAAGTCTAGGTTTTTTCCATGATCTGTCTCTGCCTGTCAGCCTGTGCTTTCCTAGAGAGTGATAATTGTTTTTAATGCAGTCGGTTCTCAATTGTCTTTTCAGAGCCTGTCCATCCTATTAGGTGTTTGATTGCTCCTGCTTTACAGCATCTAATTTGGGGAATTAAAACCGTGTTTTCCTTAAAGGGGATTCTGAACAGGAATCTGCACACTGGTTAAAAAATAATAAATAAAAAAGGAGACTAGAATTTTGTGAAACCTTAAAGGATGCTCAATGCGTGAAACAAATGTCCAAATGCTGATTTTTATCAGAAGAACAAAATAAAAGAACGCTTGGCAAAAGGTCTTCAGCTGACAGCCCTTGGAGACAAGAATTCCTCACCCGAGCTCACCATAACTTCCTATGGTGATCACGGGTGAGCAGGGTTGATGGTGTGAAGGCCAGTCCCAGGACTGGATTGAAAACATTTCCCAAGTGCCCAGGCCTCTTGCTTCTTAAAAATCCCATTGTATTGATTCATTGTGGGGTGTGGGTATGCTCAGAGCACAGTGTGTGTTATCTATACTAAGAATTTATTTTACTTTTAATTATTTGTGTGTGTGTGTATGCGTGCACATGTGTGTGTGTGTGTGAGTGCAGTACCTACAGAGTCCAGAAGAGGGTGTTAGAGCTCCTAAAGCTGTAAAAGTTATCAGTAGTTGTGAGCCACTCAACATGGGTTCTAGGAAACAAACTCCGGTTTTCTACAAGAACAGCCAGTGTTCTTAACTATTGGTCCATCTCATCCTCCATCCCAGGAAGAGGTATTTTAATCCCAAACCCTGTGCTGGTCACATTCTAAATGTTCTTTTTCTGGTTTTTTTTTTTTTTTTAAGTACCTACAGAGAAGCACCGCGTTGACTCGCCATGGAGTTTCCGAAGTCACCTGATGGCGGATGGGGCTGGGTGATTGTGGCCGTCTCCTTCTTCACTCAGTTCCTCTGTTACGGATCCCCGTTGGCCGTCGGGGTCTTGTACATAGAGTGGTTGGATGCCTTCGGTGAAGGAAAAGGAAAAACAGCCTGGGTGGGATCCCTGGCGAGTGGCGTCGGCTTGCTTGCAAGTAAGTGGATCTGTTTGTGTGTTTTCTTACTCTTTAATCTTTTAGTTGCTTTTGTCATCTCATCAACATTGCCCAGGGCACGGAGGGCTTTTCCACATTCGAAGCCTAATGTGTATTTCCCTGCTCGTCACCGTCGAGATGTAGCGGCTGTTCCTTGACTGTAATGAGTCTGTGTGAAAGTATGGAATTCCACAGGCCTACAATTCATCTTATGATTAGCTTCCTCGCCAAAGTGACAGGCGGCATGCCAGAGGATGGAAACGAAAAGGCGAAGCGCTAGAGAGATGGTTCTGTGGCTAAGAAGGCACACTGCTTTTGCTCCAGGAGATCAGACACTGCCTTCTGTCCTCTGTGGCACCCTCACACACGTGTGTGGAGGGAAGGAGAGATAGAGAGACACGCATATACAGATAATGAAATGAAATAAAATCTTAAGAAACAAAAAGTTGTGCTGCAAACATAGGTTTCCTGCCTCTAAAGAGGCTCACAAGGCATAGGGGCTGGAGAGACAGCTCAAATATAAAGTGCACATTGGGACATTGGGCACGAGGATGTCAGTTTGATCCCGAGTACTCCACAGGAAAGCTGGCTGCTTTAGCGCATACTTATAATCCCAGAGCTGGCGAGGTAGAGACAAGTGGATCCCTGGGGTTCACTTACCAGCCAGCCTACTTAGCTTGGATTAACTCTGGGTTCATTAGAGACTCTGTCTTGAAAAATAGGGGAGACTTAACATCTAAGAACATGAGCAATAGTGTTGTCTTCCGACTTCCACATGCACACACACACACACACACACACATACACACACACGGCTCACCATAACAAGGAGCACACATTGTCCCAGGGATCTAATAATTCAGAGGATGTATGCAGTGGCTGGCATGGTCACGGTATGCAGGCGATCTCTGTGTCTTCCAAGCTCTGACTTGTCTGGGATTCCGCACTAGGTTCTGTTCACGTGCCCATCAGTTACAAAGACCTTCTCAGAAAAGTATCACACAGCAAGGGCAGTCGTACCTCCCGTAGTGATGTTCTTTAGGCTTTTCACAGGGCTTATGTGTAGATCTATTTTGGTAAACAGTAGTTTGCAGTGTAATGGTGATTTCCGTGCTTAAAGCAAACAGCAAAGATTTTTTAAAATTTATCTTTTTGACCATGAATATCATTTATCACTTCGGTGCCTGGAGTCACAATTTGAATTCTGCAGTAATTCTTAATGACTATCTCTCTACCTTATCTGGCATTATTTAAATACCAATGGACTGATGATACAGGCAGAGGTGGGTAAGTACCCCTGGAGCCCCTTCCTGTGTGCTAAGACAGGCAGAGATGGGATGGTACCCGTGGAGTCTTCCTGTGTGCTACAAACTTACCGTGATTCCAGGAACAAAACCTAGTCTCTAAACTGGGAAGAAACTGGGAACATTGGGTGTGGTGGCTCATAAGGGGTGTTTAAGTTTTGAAATGGATTTATGAAAGTCTGCTTAAAACAAGCCTGCATTAGTCATCCTTTTAAGATATGTCTGTCTCTTGGCTATTAAGGGGGTTGCTGTGGAAAAAAAAAACCCCAATGGCATCCAGTTTTTAATACCAAAACAAGATGCATAGTCTTGGGGACAACCCCGCAGTCTCCTCTGGCCTTTTCAGATAAAATAACTAAACACGATTAAACAAATGGAGAAAATTGTGACGTTCCAGAATCAAGAGAAACAGGAATTTGTCCAGGATTTGTTTGAAAACGTTTTTAAAAAAATAAAGATTGCAAGGCTGGAGAGATAGCTCAGTGGTTGAGAGCACACACTGTTCTTATAGAGGATCCGGTCTGTTTAATAACCATATGAGGTGGCTCACCACTGCCTGGAATATTAGTTCCAACGGAATCCAATGTTCTCTGGGCTCCTTTGACACCTGCACACACATAGGGCACACACATACACATAGGCACGCACTCATACATGTGCAGTTGTAAAATTAAAAGAAAGACTGCCTGTAAAATTGTCAAAGCACAAGAGGCTAGTACATTCATAGAGAGATTTGAACACATGGCCTTCTAGAAAACAACCTGGTGTGGATAGATCTTACAGAGTTTTCTTATATTTCTTCGTTTCTATTAGCAAATTCTTCAACCAGAACTGTAATTATTGGGGCTTGCAGAAAAGAATCAAAGGATAATTCCAACTATATTTCCCTTAGCATATGGTAAGAGGGCCAGGCTTGTTCTGGAGTTGGTTCAGGAGGAAGAAGAGAGGGATGTGGAGTGTGTACATTGATGTAAAAGCTGAAGTTGACGGCAGCTGGGATGTGGAACGTGGACACTGGTGTAGAAGCTGAAGTTGGTCTCCCTTAAAAACTGACCAGAAAACCAGGCGGTGGTGATGCATGCCCTTAATCCCAGCACTCGGGAGGCAGAGGCAGGCAGATCTCTGTGAGTTCGGGGCCAGCCTGGTCTACAAGAGCTAGTTCCAGGACAGGCTCCAAAGCTACAAAGAAACCTTGTCTCGAAAAACAAAATAAGACATAAAAACAAAAACCAAAAGACCAAAACTAACCAGTAGCTCCACAACATCTCCGTGTCCCTGGGTCAACATCTCCGTGTCCCTGGGTCAACATCTCCGTGTCCCTGGATCAATATCTCCAAGTTCCTAGGTCAACATCTCCAAGTTTCTAGGTCGACCACATTTGTCTCAATGTCCAGGACCAGCTATCTTCAATTTAATAGGACTGTCTACAGAATTTATAAGCCCCAGAGAGATATGAAAACAGAGACTTCTTGCTTAAGAATTCCTAAGAATTTCATGGCAGTGACAGCCGATCATAGCCCTAGAAGCTGGGCCTTATCTAGTCTAAGAAGCCAGCTTGGCAATTCATCTTAATGTTTGCCCTTTGGAGCCATTAGGTTGCTTTGACCCAGAACCAAGTCAGTCCTCTACCCACCCTTGAGCTACTCAAGAGCCCCAGGACTACCTCCTGCCCTACCTTAGAGTCCAGTCCTTCGGGTCTAGGCTTCTGTGATGCTGAACCTGCCCTTCCAAGTCTCTTAAGATGTTTAGGAATGCCAAGAATTCTGGCTGTGTTTTGAATGCAGCAGTTGATAATCTGTGCGCCTGCTCACACCTTCCTAGAACAACACAGACAAGGAAGAGCACTCTATGCTGGTCTTTTGGAAGAGTTAAGCTCCCAATCTAATAAGTATTAGCTGTCTGATCTGATTTCTGATTTTTCTCTTAAATGATTGTATTTCTCAGGCATGAGCCCATTTAAAAATACACAGAGACCGTTGCAAACTTCATTTTGTACAGGCAAATTTTTGGCTGCCAACTCTGTCGTCTGTGTGGCACAAATTATCTTTCATGGGGCATCCAGGAAATGCCAAGTGTATCGGGAAATCACTTGGGCAGCGTGAACTCATTTTCTTACACAGCTCTCTAACCTCCTGATGCTCTCAAGAACATCAATAGCAAATTATCTCATTGATCTTGAAGCGTATGTCAATGGGCTGCTAATATATATATATATATATATATATATATATATATATATATATGGGACTATTAAAGTAAAAGTGAATGTATTCTAAATGAGGCAGAGCCAAATTGCTGGCTTTTTAGAAAAATGAACTTTTCACTTCCTTCAAGCAAAAAAAAAAAATCTAAAACGTATGGAATTTGAAACATAAACAAAATCAGGAAGAGAACCAGTACTCCAAAGGATCTAAGGTGACGTCAGAGTCGATCTCAAGTCCTCGCTCAATCACCTTTTAGTCCGGTGATTTTGGGCAAGCCATTCACCTTCTTTGGGCCTGACGCCAGCTACAAGATGAGGAGGTATTTGGACTTTTCAACTTAAAGCTTTTGAGGATGAACATAGAAAAGAGAAACTCTGAGAGCTCAAGGAAGAACTTGTTTAAAATAAGTGGTAGAAGAGCAAACACATCTGGAAGTGTGTGTGTGTGTGTGTGTGTGTGTGTGTGTGTATGGGTTGAGACTTCTTAAATACCAAGGTGACTAGCAAGAGTGGTTCCATCTCTTGAGTTTCTTGACTAAGGATAAAGTTAACCTAGGTAAGATGCCAGAAAATCGTGTTTATTTGGAGGCTGGTTGAGATTGGAACCCAAGCGAGCAGGCTTAAAGAGCCTTGACAATGTGCTCTGGAGTTTCCCAGATTGCAGCCCTAGTCATAGCCAAGCGCTTGAAAGTTGCCTGACTTGTGAGTCAGGACTTCTGATTGGCACTGAGGGCAGTTGGGCTGTTTTGAGTGAAAGACGAAGTCCGGGTCCTTTGTGGAGAGGAGATTCTTGTTCTGAAGGTCAGCAGAACTTAACAGTGCTTCGTAGGTCCAGTGTGCCCAAGGTGGGTGTGTCTAGGCCTCGGTCAGAAGTTCAGCTGTGGACGGTGTTCTCTGTAGTGTGATTGACTGCTTCAGCTATGATTTCAGTGTCTTGCCTCAGGGCTGGTGTGTGTGTGTGTGTTGGTACATGATCTTCTGGATGCATATAGAGACTGCAGATCAACTTTAAATTCTTCCCCAGGTGTTAGCCAGCTTCAATTCTCAGATTCTTTGAGGTGGTTGGTCAATGAGTTTTTGGGAACTTCCTGTCCTTCCTCTCCCAGCACTTGGATTACAGCATAAAGCACCAAACCCTTCTTTCTAGAAGGTTCTGGAGAGGAGCTCAGGTTTTCATGCATAGCAAACACTTTATCAACCGAGTGACCTCTTCAGTCCTCATTTTCATATGTGTGTATGTGTGTGTGTATATATATATATATACACATATATATACATATATATGTATATGCACACTATGTCTATCTATTTATATGTTTGTTTGTTTTCCAAAACAGTTTCTCTGCTTTGGCTGTCCTAGAACTTGTGCGGTAGGCTAGGCTGGCCTCGAACTCACAGAGCCCCACTTTGCCTTTGCCCCCCAAGTGAGTAAAAACATGTACCACCACTACCTGATCCTCTTTTTGTTTTCTTGACTAGTGTGGAGATTGTCTGAGGTGGGTGGGCTGCCAGAGGATGGATCATCATGAGTAGCCAGGCAGGGAAGCCAGCAGGCCTTGCCGAATCCTTGGGTGCTAAGACCTGGGGTCTGTGCTGTTCTCAACACATTGTGGTGAGATGAATTTGGCTGAAGAAGAGGGCTTATGCCGGGAGACGAGATGGTTGGTTTTCTGGGTCAGTTTGGTTACATTCATCCTCTGGTTACTCAAGTCCTAAAGCTGGCATTGCTGGGAAGGTTTTTTTGTTTTTGTTTTAAGACTCATTTGGCTTTCAGAGAGAGAGTTTATCCTAGATAATCAGAGTGGACTCCAGAAGAGAATGGAGCTTTCCCAGAAAACAACAGTTCTGCCTGAGGCCTACAGCTTCAGCCTATACCCGAGAGTCCCAGCTGGCCTCTCCTGGTGGCTTGCCCTTACAGATCTCACTTAGACTTGCCTAGTATCGCCTGGCCCTTAGCCCACAGATCTCTCACAATAAATCTATTAGTGTCTGTTTCCTGTTGGTGTTGTTTCTGTGGGGGATCTGGATGAGCACAGAAGGAGTGGCAGGTCACTGAAGCAGAGGACAGTAATGACTTTGCCATATTCTGAGAGGTGCTAAAGCATCCTCCCAAACACACACACACACACACACACACACACACACACACACACACACACAGTTCAAGGAGAAGAATGGAGTCAACCTCATTGCTGAAACAACGGAAGGATGCTTTTCATCCTTTAGTGTGAGGGTCAAGGCAGAGTTAGCAGCCCCCTTCTCCCAGTTTTGGTTCTTAATTCCTCCAGCCTGCGAAGCCCCTGCTAGCGTGAGTCAGTAGAAGACTAAGCCAGCGCAGGCAGGCACACCAGCTCAGAGTGCTGCGAGGGCTGTCGGGGCTGCCTATGAGGACTAGCCCTGAGCTGCCAAGGACCCCCTTAACTCCTTCAAGGACTGACTTCCACCCTCTGTGGGAGTCTGTGGCAGAGGCCAGTCCCCATGTACCAGGCATTTCTGGGCCAGTGGCTAAGTGAGTTTTGGTTACTTTTTTTGGGCACCAATTTGTACAAATATCAGCAGGCCAACCAGCCAACAGAGTCAGTCAATGTATATGTGATCCAAGATTATCTTTCTGAGGGTGAATCTGAAATTCACGATGTCAGTGGGGTGAAGAGTCTGCCACCCTGGGCTCCTTGTGGTGAAGGAAGACTTAAGGCACTCATGTGCCCTGGATCATTCTGTCAGAAAACCCTTGTTGCACACCAGGTCCACAGCTGTTTGCCACTGTATTTTATCTCTCATTGTATGCTGGCTAACTTATGGCTTTGACACAGCAGTCCTGGTTGGCCTTTGATTTTCTGGGTCCTCAGAAACTTTTTAGGGGAGATAAATACAAGGAGAGAAATGTAATGACTGTCTCCTCCGACAAAAAGCATAATTTCTTTCTTAGAACTACATATTCTGTCTTTTTGTTTGTTTGTTTTTAGTTTGCTTTGATTGTTTGTTTGAGATAGAGTCTCACTTTGCAGTCTTGGCTGGTCTGGAACTTGTTAATGGAGACCAGGCTGGTCTAAGAACTCATAGAGATCCGCCTGCCTCTGCCTCTTGAGTGCTGGGATTAAAGGCATGCGCCACCATGCCCGGCTTCATTCCCTGTCTTAATGAGACTTCCTTCTAGGTTTTAAAGAGAAGCCTCCCCTCCCCTTTAAGGCCCTGTCACATTTAGACCTCCACTTATTGCAGCGGCTCTCAACCTTCCTAACGCTATGACATTTTAATACAGTGCCTCATACCGTGGTGACTCCCAGCCATAAAATTACTTTATTCGTTGCTTCATAGCTGTAATTTTGCTACTATTATAAAGCATAATGTAAACACCTGTACTTTCTGATGGTCTTAGGCGACCTCTGTGAAAGGGTCCTTCAACCCCCAAAGGGGGTCGTGACTCGCAGGTTGAGAATCTCTGATTTATTTATTCTATTATCTCTGTCTGATACTCCCTCACATTTAATCGTGGTCTGGAGGCCTCTCATGCAAACAAACCTCATTCCCAAAGGCAATGATCTCTGTGTTAGCTTCCCCTTTCTTCGTTTCTCATTATAACACGACTACTGAAGCCATGAGACTCTTTCCTTTGTGTTTGCTTTTGCATCCCGTTTGTGACTGGGAACATACTTCACTGCCTTCTCAAGGCTCAGGTTCTCTTCCAAAATCCCCCAAACACCCTGTAACCTGCCTTTTTTTCAGGCAATGGAAATATTCTAAAGAGATTCTCCTGTCCCTTTCTTTGAGGATCAGACTTTGGAAACAATGGACTCTCAGAAATTAGAGTTTCCTCAGGAACCTCCTACTGAGAACAGTCAGGGCTGAATCTGGGGGAATCCAGAGAAGGAATTGTCTCCAGAGAAGCATTTACATCCTGTGACGTGACCTTTCTGGAGAGACTTGGAGCTGAGGCCGGGGTGGGCAGAGATCACTGCTGCTGGACTGCATGTAACTCTGGCTTTCTATTTAACCCTCCACCCTCATGTCAGGACCCCAGTCCCCGGCGGGGTTGGGAAGGTCACTGGATCTCTTTGTCTCTCTTTCCACTCTGGTCACATTAATAAATCCCCCCTTTCTGCCTTTCCCTATTAATTTGGCTCATTTAATTGGCTTATTGAGGACAGGTGACCAGAACAGGCTCTGCGGCTCTGCCTCTCTCTCATGGTCCTCTTACTGGCTTGTATTTTGAAGTGGTATCCTCACGACTATTACCATTTCCTTACTAGAAGAATCTTTACTCTCCACTGGAGCAGCACTGATCGTTGGTTACTCTGTTTGGCATATCTCAAACTGAACTACCAGCAAGCCTCTCTTTTCATCTTCATCATTTTCCATGGTTCATAATTTGGGCAAACCGCTTTTATTACAAAGGTCTTTTCTATGAAGTGGAAGACTCAAAGCCACATAAGAAATCTCCCTGGAGAACCCTGATTGCTCTTAGGGGTGATGAGTGAGGGGGTCTTCATCGGGGGAGGGGGAGGGAAATGGGAGGCGGTGGCGGTATCTTAACTTAAATAAATAAATAAAGAAACACACACACACACACACACACACACACACACACACACACACAGAAATCTCCCTGGAAAACAGTTCTTTGATTTGTTTGATTGAAATCTGGGATTGGCCTGGTGCTGAGGAACAATGCTTGGTTATTGTAGTTGAGATCTTGTTTGTTAAGATAGAGACTCATAGGTGTGTCCTTTTCCGTAGAGGTGGACTTGACCAAGTCTGGTTACACTTCACTGGTTTAGGTACATTCTGTGAAGATCATTACCCATCGTTCCCACCTTTGTATCCCACCCGCTGTTTCCTTACGGCCTTCGCACACATGAATTAGACCATGGTCCCATTTGGAGAACACAGAGTGAGCCAGCCAAGGACACTGCTATGCCTGCTACAGGTTTTGTCAGCTTGATGCAAGTTAGGGGGATCTAGGAAGAGGGAAACTCCAATTGAGAAAAAGCTTGCATCAGATTGGCCTGTGGGCAAGGCCGTGAACATCTTCTTGATTAATGATTGATGTGATAGGCTCCAGGCCCCCTCTGTGCATGGGGCCGCCCCTGAGCACCATTCTGGGTGGTTCAAGGAAGCAGGCTGAGCGAGCCATGGGAAGCAAGCTAGTAAGCAGCATTTCTCTCTATCTCTGCTTCAGCTGCTGCCTCCAGGTGCCTGCCCAGACTTCCCTTCATCCTGGACTGCAAGCTTTGAGGTTCTTTGTCCTGCCATGCAGTAGAAAGGCACCTTCCTGGGATTTCTCTTTCCTTCCACATGAAATGAGCTTATTGGGCCGACTCTTCAACACCCTTCATTTCCAATCTGCGTGGTGCTATGATTCTAAGCATTTCCTCTGGCACAGCGCCAGCGAGACACAATCTGTCTCAAGACCTGTTTCACACACGGTGGTTTTCCTTTACACTGAACAAATTCAGGCTTGGATAACTCCTGACCATCGGTCAGCCATGCACAGAACTGCAGGAGGTGACAACTGTTGGTCTCAATTTGCAGATGAGGAAACTAAGCCTCGGGGAGTGCGAATCTGTTGCCTGAGATACAACAACTTGACAAGAGGGAAAGCCAATCCCTAGCTCAAATCTGACGCTAGTAATCACCTTTCTCCACAGTGAACTCACCATCCTTTTATAAAAAAAAAGGGGAATAGCAACAGTATCTACTTTCCAGGGCTGCAATAAGGCTAACTGTGGAGTGTGACTGTTAGTCAGAGTAACTCATGTATTGTCTAGCATCTAGCAGCATCTAGCATGCAGTAGCGTCCAGCGTGCAGCAGCATCTAGCATGCATAAATGTCTAGTGTGCCGCAGCCTCTAGCATGCAGCAGCATCTAGAGTGCTCAGAACCATAGGTGTTGCCTTCCTGGGTTGCATTGTGATGGAGCCGTTTTGAACTGACAGTGGATGGATCATGTGGTCGTAAGAAAGGGGTCACTGCTCCATAAGTGAAGGTCTCAATTTCTTTTAGGTCCCGTCTGCAGTCTCTGTGTGTCATCTTTTGGAGCGAGATCCGTCACCATCTTCAGTGGCTTCCTGGTGGCTGGAGGCCTGATGCTGAGCAGTCTTGCCCCCAATATCTACTTTCTGTTTTTTTCCTATGGCATCGTCGTAGGTAAGGAACCTGGCCCCCATAAGACTTCCAACTCCAGCTCCGCACCATTTCACTGGTGTCTTCTTTTTATTAAGTTAATCTGAGGAGGGAACGCCTCACGTTCAGTGACTACCTCTAAAAGTTGTTACTTTGGGAACTATCTGCCCATTGAACCCAAGCGCTGGCAGAGTTAACCACATTAAATTTTGTTGTTGTTGTTCTTTTAGGATTTTATGTGTATCGATTTTTTTTTTTTTTTTTTTTTTTTGCCTGCATGCATGTCTGTGAGCCATGCATATGCTTTGGTGACCAGGGAAGTCAGAAGGGAGCAAAGGAACACCTGGAACTGGAGTTACAGTTATGAGCTGCCATGAGGGTGCTGGGAAATGAACCTAGGTCTTCTGGAAGAGCAGCCGGGGAGAGAGATGGCTCTTACTGCTGAGCCATCTCTCTAGCCCTAGGATAAACACATTTAACAGTCCCCCTATGCCCCACTGCAGGGAACAGGGAGAGATTTCAAGCTTTCCTCTCTATATTTCTGCAAGGAAAAGTGAGACAGGAAGAACATAAGCTCAGATGTTCCTGATGTTGGTCACTTCTCTCTGTTTGCTGCTGGGACTTCAGCACCAGTGGGCAGCGGAGTTTCAGTTTGTGGCCAGTACCCAATCCAGAAGTTCTGGTTGACATCTAAGGTGGGATTTTTAAAGATGAGGTGTGAGAGTGAAGAGGATGGCAGAGTGGGGATGCTTGATGAAGACTTAGTAACGGATGACTAACGAGCCTGGACCACGCAACAGTTCATGAAAATCCCTTTGTAATATACTGTATTTAAAGGTGTTTGATGTTGAAAACCGCTAGGCCATGGCCATAGGAGTTCTGACCTGGTTCTGTTATTTTAATTATGCAAATGAGATGATGGCCGTTTCTTGTATATTCACCTTAGCAAACGTAGTACCCTAAGCTTCTCCCCCAGTCCTCACTTAAATGGTTTTATCATCAAAGTCAATTATATTTTTTTCTTCTTTTTCGTTTTCTTTAGTCAGGGTTTCTCTGTGTAGCTTTGGAGCCTGTCCTGGAACTCGCTCTGTAGACCAGGGTGGCCTCGATCTCACAGAGATCCGCCTGCCTCTGCCTCCCGAGTGCTGGGATTAAAGGCGTGCATCACCACCGCCTGGTTGCTTTTCTTCTCTTTGTGAGACAGGGTCTCACTATGCAGCTTTGGGTGGTCTGCCTCCTGAGCGCTGGGATTAGAGGTGTGTGCCACCAATTCTAGCCAAAGATGGAACTGATTCTCCTGGCTGTGCACTTGTGTTGAGCAACTATGATGTTGTGTGGGTTGCGTTTGTTTTGTTTTGAAGCAGGATCTCCTTATGTGACCCAGTCTGCTCTGAATTCTAGATCTTCCTGACTCAGTTTCCCTGGTTTTGAGATTACATGTGTGCATCACCATGTCTGATTTTCATTATGATTATGATGTTTAGTATTGCCTGAGGCTTTTTCTTTATGGATAGTATATGACTGTATATGCCATAGACTCGATTGAAAAGTACAAGCTAATACCAAGACAATGGCCGCTTTCAGTGCTATATTCTAGGTACGGATGATGCATGTTTACATTTTCAATGTCCTTTAATCCCATGTGATTGTGCTAAGTGTCAGAAGCGAGAATCCAAGAGTCGTGGCGCTGGTCATCCAGGTATAAGGATGGACTCTCTGTGCGTAACTGGCCCCACAGCAGAAGCAAGGGCACCGACAATGTGAAGCCAGTGTCTGGTGCTGGTGTACTGTGTGTCTGTGCAGAGAAAGGATGCAGGGATGGCCATGTGACCCAAGTCTCTAGGGAAAGGTAGGATGTGGTCAGTGGATGGTCACTGGAAGAGAATTGAGGGTAGTGGAAGACACCTAGAGCCAAACACTCAGACTGGGATGCGGTGTTGTACAAACAGCAACCTTTTAAAGAGTCAATGTGTGTGTGTGCAGTGCCTGCGGAGGCCAGAAGGGGGCATCATATCCCCAACAGCCAGAGTTCCAGGCGGTTTTGAGATGCCTGGGAACCAAACTCAGAATCTCTGGCGGAGCTGCTAGTGTCCCAGTCCCCAACAGCTGCCTTTCCTACATATTTTTGTTGTTGTTTTGTTTTAAGGAATGCATATGTCACCTAGGAAGTTGCAAATATGTCAAAGCATCTGTTAGAACCCCAGTGGGGACACGGTGCGTCTTCTGTCATTTTTATTGCAGAAGCATAGAGTGATGTGTGCCACTAGGCAGCAGCTTATTGTGCTGAAGGCTCAGGGAGCTAGGGGGAGGTCAGAGTTCAGACGAGAGGTGCTGGGATGAACTGGCAGCAGGTGGTGGATCCTTCAAGCTGTGGGTGTGATAAGGGGCTTAGACTCTGGCTGACTCATACGTCCCGCTGCATAGCTGCAGGAGAGTCTTCCAGGATCATCTGGGTTTATGCAAGGATTGAAGAGCGTGGCAATGGGGATGCACACAGCTTCGGCAATGATGGGTGTGCTTCAGGAAGTCTATAAAGGGGAGAGAAAGAGAATTATTGAAGTTGTTTCCAACAAAAATCCTTGGCTATGGGAATCTGTCCTAAGGTGGCCATGGTCCAGAATGAAAGTCTTGCTGGGCAGAAGTCCTTGTTGGCAGTGATTTTTGTGTGTGGGTTGCAGGGTCATTTGTGAACGGCTTTTGACAGCTCTTTCTCTCAGGGGTACGTGTCCCAGAACCCGGTCTTCATACTCTTCTTATTTATTTATTTATTTATTTATTTATTTATGTTTTATGGCTTGATAAGAATGACTCCATTTTGATTCCATTTTCTCAGAGTGGGGTGATACAGAGAGAGAGAGATATATTCTGGAGTTGGTATCTCATCCAGATGTAGATGATCAAGCACATTCTAGGTGGAATAAACACTCATTAGGCCACAGAATTACATTTTATGTTCACTTGTTTAAGCAAAAGGAACAGTGACATGCCACTTGTGTTTATGCCTTGAATACTCAGCAGTACAGGCTTTAAAAAATTCATCTGTCTCTTCATTGTCCATGGGACTGCGTCACATAAGAATAAGTTCATATTGTATTTTACACGTTCCCTTCAGCCTCCTCTTCTTCCTCCTCCCCTCCTACCAGCCCCCCTCTCCTCCCTCTCCCATCAGTCCCCTAGACAGTTGCCCTAAACTCTAGAAGCCACGGAGGAGAGAAAACATGATGTTTCTGACACTGGCTGAATTTGCCTAAATGTGGTTATTTGATTTTGAAATTATTATGCTTCTCAGGAGTTTGCTTCCGGCTAGAATTTGATCAGAGGTGCCCAGCTACCAGAGAAGGCTTTAAGACAACAGTTTGGAAACTTTAGCGTCTTGGAACTTTTTAATTTTCTTCCTCAGGACTCTAAGGAACTTCAGATGATGTGGAGCGTACATTTATTTAGTGTATTATGTTTTAACATATTACATATAAAATATAATACATTTGCGGCTTGGGAGATGCTTTTTGGTTTTTCAAGGCAGGGTTTCTCTGTGTAACATCCCTAAGTTTTCTTAGAACTCATTGTGTAGACCAGGTTGGCCTCGAACTCACAGAGATCTACCTACCTCTACTTCTCAAGTGTTGGGATTAAAGGTGTGTGCCACCACTGTCCAGCAGCCCTTAGATGCTTCTTACTCTGATCAAGTTGAGTCAGGATTTTCCACCCCACTCTGGCTTTCTAGGAGACAATGTTCTCTGTGTCTATCTACTCAGCCTGCTGCAGTGACTGGTTTTTGACTGAAGTTACGTGAGAAAAATACAAACCTTCATGCACCAAAAAAGTATTTGGAAAAGGAAAGCATTTTCCTTTAAGATTTATTTTATTGGCTCAATGTCCATGGTTTATGGCTAGAAACCAAATATGAGTGAGTACATCCCATGTTCCTCTTTTTGTGTCTGGCTTACCTCACACAGGATAGTGATCCTAGAGAAGCTAAATAAGGAGAACCCAAAGAAAAACATATAGGCATCCTCCTGAATATTAACCTTCAGCAAGCGATGAAAGGAGACAGAGACAGAGACCCACATTGGAGCACAGGACTGAATTCTCAAGGTCCAAATCAGGAACAGAAGGAGAGAGAGCACGAGCAAGGAACTCAGGACCATGAGGGGTGCACCCACACACTGAGACAATGGGGATGTTCTACTGGGAACTCACCAAGACCAGCTGGCCTGGGTCTGGAAAAGCCTGGGATAAAACCGGACTCGCTGAACATAGCGGACAATGAGGACTACTGAGAATTCAAGAACAATGGCACTGGGTTTCTGATCCTACTGCACGTACTGGCTTTGTGGGAGCCTAGGCAGTTTGGATGCTCAACTTACTAGACCTGGATGGAGGTGGGGGGTTCCTTGGACTTCCCACAGGACAGGGAACCCTGATTGCTTTTCAGGCTGAGGGGGGGGGGACTCAATTAGGGGAGGGGGAGGGAAATGGGAGGCGGTGGCTGGGAAGAGACAGAAATCTTTAATAAATAAATAAATTTAATAAAAAAAAGATTTATTTTATTTTAAATTCCATTCATCTGTCCTAAGTGGCTATGTGCTCATGCATGCAGGTGCACACAGTGGCCAGCAGAGGGAGTCAGATCCCCCATAGCCTGAGTTGAGCAGTTGTAGTTTGTCTGATGTGGGTGCTGGGAATTGAACTCAGGTCCTATGCAAGAGCAGTGTACCCTCTGAACAGCGGAGCCATCTCCCCAGCCCCAGAGAAGGGCTTTGTTGTTTTTTTTTTTTCAAGTAACTATAGATATTTTTTTCTTGATACCATTGCAAAATGGTAAAAAGCAAATTCAGGGAAGCCAAATGAGATAGACGCTGATGGAAAACCAGCAACTAGTACCAGATTTCACCGGTACTCACAGAGACTAAAAGATAAAACCAAAGAGCTAGACGTGACCGAGAGACCTGAGATATAGGCATGATTAAGTATTTTGTTTGTTTGTTTGTTTGTTTGTTTTTCAAGACAGGATTTCTTTGTAGCTTTGGAACTTGTCCTGGAACTAGCTCTTGTAGACCAGTCTGGCCTGCCTGCCTTTGCCTCCTGAGTGCTGGGATTAAAGGTGTGAGCTACCACCGCCCTACATGTTTTTTCTTCTTCTTCTTTTTTTTTTAATTATTCTTTTGTACCTCAGAAATTGGGCAATTTCTATTTTTGCTTGACTCTGATGTTAAGGCGGGTGAAGAAAAATGCTGCTTCTCAGATATCCATTGAATCCCCAACACTGACAGAGGAGTCTGGGGACTCTGATGTCTAGGCAACAGGTTCCACAGCTTCTGGGTGGGGACCCTTCATTTTCTTCTTTTGCATTGAAGCTGTGCACCTGTCTAAACTCCTGCTGTCTTCTTATATGCAGGTCTCGGATGTGGCTTGTTATACACCGCGACAGTGACCATCACGTGCCAGTATTTTGACAGCCGCCGAGGCCTTGCGCTTGGCCTGATTTCAACAGGTACCTTTTCAAAATTAAGTACAGTATAGTCACAAGTTAACATTTTTTTTAAATATTTATTTATTTATTATGTATACAATGTTCTGTCTGTGTGTATGCCTGCAGGCCAGAAGAGGGCACCAGACCTCATTACAGATGGTTGTGAGCCACCATGTGGTTGCTGGGAATTGAACTCAGGACCTTTGGAAGAGCAGGCAATGCTCTTAACCACTGAGCCATCTCTCCAGCCCACAAGTTAACATTTTAAACAGAGCAAAGAGGTGTGAAACATGTGTGTGCAACCAGCCTCTGCCCAGCGGCCAGTCAGTCAGAAAGCAAAGTGTTTTGTTTTTTTTTTTTAAATAGCACTCCTAGAAGGAAAATTTATTTTCTACCATAAATATAGGAATAGCTCTCAAAAACCCCGAAACCCAAGCCAGGCAGGAGTGGCACATGCCTTTAATCCAAGCACTTATGTAGCACAAATAACGAAACCCAAGCCAGGCAGGGGTGGCACATGCCTTTAATCCAAGCACTTATGTAGCACAAATAATAAAAGGGAAAATGGCAACTCTCCGCAGTAGCAGAGCCTTTGAGAGGTCAGGTGGTAGAGCATGGGACTCTTAATCCCAGGGTCATGGGTTCAAGCCCCACGTTGGGCACCAAAAGTAGAATGATAATAAAACCCAGAGACAGATATTGAGGTTCTGTCCTAAAACCAGAAAAGCAGAGCTACCAAGCCATTAGAGAAGTCTTACCTCTACCAGGGCTGGGCAACTGCAGACTATACAGACTAAGCCTTTTCCCTTCCTATTTTATATTCCCTCTAGTGCTGGGATTAAAGGTCTGAGCCACCATCACCTGGATTTATTTCTGCATTGATCTTGTATAGTTCAGGGTGGCCTTGAACTCACAGAGACCAGCCTGTCTCCCAAATCCTGACCTCTAGTGGCTTAGCTTTGCCCTTCTGATCTTTAGGCAAGCTTTATTTATTTTTAAAAAAAAAATTCACTATACATTTGGAAGGCAGAGGCAGATGGATCTCTCTGAGTTTATGGTCAGGCCAGCCTGGTCTACAGGACAAGTTTTAGGACAGCCAGAGCTACACAGAGAGACCCTGTCTCAAAAAAACAACAACAACAACAACAAAATAATCACCACAAAACTCAAACAAACAAGCAAAAACAAACAAACAAACAAGAAAACCCCCAGATCCATAAATGACAGACCTGAGTACTAGACCTCAGAGTGATGGCTGCTGAAGAAGCTTCTAGTTGCTCCCCGGTTGTCTGCAGAAGAGCGCTCGGATGAAAGCGTCTGCTGTGGGAAGAAGGAAGGACGGGCAGGAAACAAGAGCTGCAGCCACTGTCAGAGGCTGAGGTCAGCCTTACCACGTAGTGAAGCACAGAATCCCGCCTAAAGCCCTGCTCTCTGAGCACGTCTCACTCACCTGGCTACACATCCAAGCCATACACACTCTTAATTTTTCTCTAAGAATTAACACATGATAGCTGAAGGCGTAAAATAGCATATAAAAATATAGATTTTAAGCCCTGTGTGGGAGCCTATATTTTTAATTACAAAGGTCTGGGGCAGAAGGTTTGTGACCATGGATTCAGCCTTGGCTATATGTAGTGAGAACCCTGTCTCAGACAAACAAAGAAAAACATGTAAGTTTTATATATAATTTATGACCTCCTCCAGGTATGTTGGGGGTAGTAGTTAATGTTTTAGATGGATTTAAAAAAACTTCTAAGGTAGTATCAGTCTCTGTGACTGATATTATAGCAGTCTATTTAGGGCAGTGGTTCTCAACCTTCAGGTCTTGATCCTTCTGATGGGTTGAAGGACCCTTTACATATCAGATATATTTGCATTATGATTCATAACAGTAGCAAAATTACAGTTATGAAGTAGCAATGAAAATTATTTTGTGGCAGGGGGTCACCACAATTTGAGGAACTTATTCCACAAGAGAAGGAAGTGTTTTTATTTTAAATGGAAAATGGATTTTTTTTCATATGATATATTCTGTTTATGGCTCTCCCTCCCCCTAGTCATCCCAGATCCTCCCTACCCACCCAGATCCACATCCCTTCTTGTTCTCTCCACCCAAGAAAAAAAATAATCATAAAACAAGACAAAATAAAAAAAGCCTGGAATATGACAAAATAAGCAAACAGAAAAACAAGCGCCAAACAAAAGCACGAGAAGCTCTTGTAGGCACAGAGACAGATTTGTGTGCACAGAAATTCCCTAAAACACAAAATCAGAAGTCATAACATAGAAGCAAGAGGCCTGTAGGGTAAGAAAAAAAAATCAACAAACAAACAAACTAAAAAAAACAAGTGTGCCCAGGCAAAGCATTAGGAGACAAATAAACATAAAAACAAAAAGAAAACACCTCCGAAAACATCACTGGGCTCGTTTTCTGTTGGGCATCTACTAGAGAAAACCAACTTTTCATTTGTGAGTGGTTCTCATTGGAGATAGCTTCCGGATTAGGGAAGGGGGCTTGTGTCCACGCTCGTCACTGGAGAACGTGTTCCTAACGGCTATCTTTCCAGCATCCTGGAGCTAGATTTTGGTCACTCACTTGCGGGTTGGTGTCGGACAAGGTACTTCACTGCTCAGTGTTTCCCTTTTCTGCACTGTAAGACGGGAACAGTGATATCAGACATGACACTTGGTTATTGGCACATGCAGACTGTAGGATGGCTAGTGATTGTGTCTGTGACCAGAATATCCTGCTGTGTCCAAATTTACTGATGCCAAAGACACTGGAAATTTCCTGCTGTTGTGTGGCTCTGGCTTGGCACTCAGTCTGGAGGGCAGAGAAGAGGGGGTGCACTGTAGCCCAGCAAATCAAAACTGCAATACCCATGGGCAGTCCATCTGAAGGGTCTCTATTAACAGTTTACTAATGTAGAGCCAGGCATGAAACACCCTTCATCTCAGGAGATCACAGAGAAGCAAAATCTTAGTAGTTTTTCCAAAAGAAACCATGAGTCAATGCCTTGACACATAACCCCCTAGTAGAAAGGGGTAAAACGTAGAAACATAAGCATATTATAAAGGTTTTAGCCTGACCTGGTGGTGCATGCCTGCGGGCCCAGCACTTAGGAGGCTGAGGCAGGGTAGCTGAGTTCAAGGTCAACTCTGAATCCTTGGGGAAGAAGTGGGGGAACAACACCTGTTTCAAAACTAACAGCAACAAACCCCTGAAGGTTGTGGATGGTGATCTTTTCGGTGGTGAGTCGGGATTAGAAAATAGCCCTCTCCTCCAACCTGCCTCACCCTCTGCTTTTGTACACTGCATGGTTTTTCTATTTTTAGCCCATTTTTAAAAGTGAAAAGAACATTTCATAATGTGTGAACATTTGGGGAAACTGAGTGTCCATAAATAGCCGTGCTGTCTCCTGTCTGGTGTTTCTGTGTTTCCCAGGGAGAGCTGAATACCAGGGACAGATGGGCATTGTATGCTTACGGTGTCTTAGATGCTTGCCTTCTGTCCTCTTAGGGAAAAGCCTGAAACAATGGGTATTGATGAGCGAATTAGTGCACGTGCGTGTCTCTTAGTGTTTAGGTTCCCTAAACAGTAATTATTTTTCCTCTCCGTAGTAGTTCAAAATCTAGACTGGGATGAGAGCTTAATTAGTGTTTTTTTCTCACTTTGCTCTGTATGTTGACTATTTTTTCAATTAAGATGTTCTTGTAGACGATTAAAAATTAGAGCTTTGCATTTTCCAAAAAAAAAAAAAAAAAAAAACAACACCGCGAGGAAACTCTAAAATCGGTTCCCATGACCCTGGAGAATCGCCACCTCTTTCTAAGTCATGGCCACGTGCTCATGGGACACAGGCAGAGATTTAGGGTTTGCCTTGCCCCATCACAAGGCATATTGTAGCTGTTAATAATTTCTGCTGAAGTAATTGGATGTATTTCAGGGTAAGACAGATGAACTCTGTTGGTGAGCGATGGCAATACTTTCTCAAGATCAAGGCAGAATGCAGAACCTTAAATTACATTTCTTTATGTGTGTGTGCATGTGTGTGTGTGTGTACATGTGTGTATGAATGTGAGCATGTGCAACCACTTGCCCCAGCTCAGGCAGAGGTCATGGGAAAACTTGCTGAAGTTGGTACACGTCTGCCAGCCAGCATGTGGGTCGGAGACACTGAGCTCAGGCCCTCAGGTGTGGTGGCAGGTGTCTTTCTCTGCCGATCCAGCTCTCTGCCACGAAAACAGAACTTTTAAAATACCAAGAACGTGTTCGATGTTCTAGAGACTAGCGGTCAAAGAGCATGACCACTTTTCAGAGAACCCAGGTTTTGGTTCCCAGCATCCACATGGCAGGATATAACTATCGCTATGGCAGTTCCAGGGGATCCAATGCCCTCTCTGACCGCCTTAGGCACCAGGCACACACATGTGTACTTATGGTGCACACATGTGTATTTAAGCAAAACATCCGTAGACACTAAATCTAAATCTTTTTAAAAGTACACGTTTAGGGTCTAATGGTGTGACGTCTTATGAGAATTTTTGTCGCATGGCACACTAGGTAGAAGTCACAAACAAAGCGTTCATGGTGAAGACACAGGACAACAGTCTTAAGGTTGCCCATTCTGCTCCCTTCTTTGTTTTCCGAACCGGGTTTAGCTGTTGGAGCACACACCACTTTTCAAAGATAGGGGAGAAATTTGTCTATTATTTTTATCTTGCGTGTATGGGTGTTTTGCCTGCATGTATGTCTGTGCATCGCATTCCTACAGTGCCTGAGGGGACCAAAGGGACCTCGATTCCCCTGGAACTGGAGTTACAGGTGGTTGTGAGCTGTCACCAAACCCGGGTTCTCTGCAAGAGCAACCAGTGTTCTTAACCGCTACATCATCTCTTTGCTCCTGGTTATAATATTTTTTGATGAGATGAGTTTTTAGAGTATGGATGTTATGATCATCCAACTCAGAATTTTAAAAAATTAGCCTGTTTACATTTTCCTGCTGTTTCATATGTCGTTTCGTGGGGATACTTAAATTTTTTAAATGCTCAATTTTTAAAAAAATGAAATAAGAACCCAACAAGAACAGCATAAATTAAACAGCATCGTGGTGTGCTTAGGGAAATAGATGCTGAAGAGGAGGCATTTGTCCCTGTGTGGTATATAAGCCAGCATACTAATTGAAACACTCCATCAAATCCCATGTCAGCCTCTTCCCATACCAATGCATTAAGAATACGAATCACTCATTCTAGTGATTCAGCAATGAATTTAAATGATCAAACCATTATTAATATCCTAAAATTAATCTACAGCAGTCATCTTAAAAATGGAATGTAAAGATTTGCTTTCACGAAGACAATAAGACATAGTACAGAGCGGAGTACATAATAAATGTAAAAGGTAGTCAAAGATAGTGTTCGGTAGGACTAGCGAGATGACTCAGTGGGGAGAGCCTATGCTGCCAAGCCAGATGACCTGAATTCAAGTCCTGAGACCCACGTTACAGGATGAGAGAAGTGACTCCCAAAAGTTGTCTTCTGACCTACACACGCGTGCGTGCACACACACACATGCACAGACACACACATGCACACACACATGCACACACATGCACACACATACACACACATGCACACACACATACACACATGCACACACACATGCACACATGCACGCACACACCCACATGCACACACCCACCCACATGCACACACACACATGCACACACACATACACACACATGCACACACACACATGCACACACATGCACGCTGTGGAAAGTGTGTGGCTGTATAAAATACACACTAAACAAACAAACAAAGCTGTAATTTAAAAAATTTTGAAATAACTAAATTCCATGGGTTCCTGGAGTCAGGCTGACTGAATTATGTTGGTTTACGACTTTGAGAACTGTGGTAAATTTCTCGAGCTCTCCAGCCCTTATTCACATCATTCGTAGATTGGGGGTTATAGTAGGATGTACTCAATAGGACCATTACAAATAATAAATGAGATCATGTATCCAAAGTACGCAACAGGGAGCTGGAGAGACGGCTCAGCAGATAAAGGTATTTATGGCTCTCACGGAGGACCCAAGTTCAGTTCCCAGTACCCACATCAGGCAACTCACAGCCACCTGTGATCCCAGCTACAGGGGATCTGGCCTTTGTGGGTGCCCACTCCACACAGAGACACATACATATAATTTAAAAATCAGATAAATCCTGGCAGGACTGGAGAGATGGCTCAGTGGTTAAGAGCACTGGCTTTGGTTCCCAGCACCCATGTGGCGGCTAACAATGGTCTGTAACTCGAGTTGCAGCAGATCCAATGCCCTCTACTGGCCTCATGGGCACTACACGTATGTGGTGCACATATAACCCTGCCACAAAAACGTGCGTAGGCATAAAATTAAATTTAAAAAAAAAACTTTAAAATAAAATAATTCCTGAATACAAACAGGGTCTTTGGATGTTGATTCTGAAGATGAATGGCCTGTGAGTACTGCTGTCCTGCAATCTCCGTGTTCTTGTGGCTAAATACTAAGGGATCGTGAGGACCAGTGTAAATAATAAGTGTGCTTGTGACGCCACCAGTGCGTGTCCTAAGGCAATAGAAACGATCAGACTAAAACTGAGAGCTTCTTGCTCTCTTGCAGGTTCGAGCGTGGGCCTCTTCATCTACGCTGCTCTGCAGAGGATGCTGATAGAGTTCTACGGCCTGGATGGGTGCCTACTTATTGTGGGCGCGCTGGCTTTAAACATACTCGCCTGTGGCAGTCTGATGAGGCCCTTGCAGTCTCCCGTCTGCCCTTTTCCTGAAAAAATAGCTCCGGAGAACGTTCTAGAGAGATACTCCACGTACAGTGAGAAAGAGAAGAGCCTGGAAGAAAATCTGAACATCTTGGACAAGGGCTACAGTACCGAAGATAAATGCACCAACACCTTGCCCAACGGTGACTGGGCACGGGACAACCCCAAAAACCCCACAGCCGCAGCGCACAAAAAGAAGGTTGTGGAGCAGACTTATTTTTGCAAGCAGCTTGCCAAGAGGAAATGGCAGTCATATAGGAACTACTGCGGCGAGACCGTGTCTCTTTTTAAAAACAAAGTCTTCGCGGCGCTTTTCATCGCCATCTTGCTTTTTGACATCGGAGGGTTTCCGCCATCGCTGCTCATGGAGGACGTCGCGAGAAGTTCCAACGTGAGGGAAGAGGACCTCACCATGCCGCTCATCTCCATCATCGGCATTATGACAGCCGTGGGCAAGCTTCTTTTAGGCATCATGGCTGACTTCAAGTGGGTCAACACCTTGTACCTCTATGTAGCCACCCTTATCATCACGGGCCTGGCCTTGTGTGCAATCCCCCTTGCCAAGAGTTACATCACCCTGGCGATACTTTCTGGGATCTTGGGTTTTCTTACTGGTAATTGGTCCATCTTCCCGTATGTGACCACTAAGACTGTAGGGATTGACAAGTTAGCCCACGCCTATGGGATCCTCATGTTCTTCGCTGGACTTGGGAACAGCCTCGGGCCACCGATTGTTGGTAAGATGCCCATCTTCAAGTCAGCTCAGTTTCTAGTTCCTCACGGTGACAGTTCCTGATAGAGAAGTTCTCAGTAGTGAAGATTTGCACCAAGCAAAGTGGATTATTTCACAGTAGTTTATTCAAGATTGTTTGGCTAGGGCTGCAGATGTAACCGGGCTGGAAGGGGGTTTGCCTAGCGTGCCGGAAGCTCTAGGTTTATTCTCCAGCTCTGTCTAAAGCCAGGTGTGAGAGCCGCCCACACCTGTAACCCTAGCCCTTGGGAGTGGGAAGTTTAAGCTCATCTTTGGTATATGGTGAGTGTTGGCTACATGAGACCCTGACTCAGTACACACGCACACACACACACACACCTGAGATAGGCACATGTAACCACACACAGGCACATGTAACCACACACAGGCACATGTAACCACACACAGGCACACACAACCACAAATAGGCACACACAACCGTACATAGGCACACGTAATCACATACAAACACTGCTTCTGTGAAAGTCACACTCTTCCTCTCTGTCTTCTCAGGTTGGTTCTACGACTGGACGCAGACCTATGACATCGCCTTCTATTTCAGTGGCTTCTGTGTCCTGCTGGGGGGCTTCATCCTGCTGCTTGCCGCCTTGCCCTGTTGGGACGTGTGCAACAGGAAGCTCCCTAAGCCAGCGCCAACAGCCTTTTTCTACAAAGTTGCCTCTAATGTTTAGAGGGATATTAAAAGGCGTTATTTTCTCTATTTTCTACTTTATACTATATGTATACACACACATATATATAGTATATATGAGTATGTATATATATATAATTTAACAAATTGTTAGGCAGGTTCCCCAGAGTCAAGAGCTTAGAGCAACACTTCGGCTGACTCTGAAGGGGACTGTACTTCCACATAGCCTGTTTTTATGTACTGCGTGTGTAACCTTTACCCCTTGTACGCCCCTCCCTGAAGAAGTGGGAGTGTTCTCTTTTACTACTGTTGTTGGTGAGTTCAGGGTGTAAAGCTGTTGGCTCGCCTCACCAAATTTTCTCTGGGTGAAGAAGTTTTGTGTCTCTCTGCTTTCCCCGGGAGCTCTACCACACACAAGGTCTTAAACCACGCACGTTCCTGTCTTAAACCACGCAAGTTCCTGTCTTAAACCACGCACACCTCATGGCGGGATATTTGTGAAGACCCCTAAGGAATAATTGTTGTCTCCTCTATATCAGACCCGCAAGTCCAGAGAAGACACTGAGCCATCTCACTTCCAGCAATGAAAGCGGCAGTTACAATGTCACTAAGACTTGGAAGACTTTAGACAAGATTTTTTTAAATCGCAGCTGCCATCGTCGGTTTTCTGTTTTATTGTCCTTGTTGAAGCACTGTGGGACATTCGGTGTTCACTGTGTGTGAACTTGTTCAATTCCTCCAGCAGTCTTTCTGCATGGCCTGCTCCCTAGGACCTCGCTCTCTGGTATGTTGGTCAGCATCCTCTCTCTGATATCTCCTAAGAGCTGCTGACTTGCTGGTTTCCAGCTTGGAAATACACCTCTGAGCCATTCCGTTGGGCAAGTGGGAAGCATCCCTAGCTTCCGTTTGCTTTGAGCGCCGTGGGAATGGGTTGCAAGGCCCTGCATGTCTTCCAATGAAGCCGTGGTGCTTTCTCTTGGGCCTTTCCACTACTGCATCTTAGTTTATGGACAGTGCTTTAAAAAAAAAAAAAAACCCAAAAAGATAGCAACAACAAAAAAAACCCCAATGCTCTATGTGTTTTTTAGACATGGGGAAAGCCAGGGTGAAGAGAAATTGATATACTCATCCAACCTTCATTAATCCCAAGAATGTTGGAGGGCAAAAATAATGTTTAATAAATAGACATGGGTTCAAGTTTGAGTTCAAACTTGAGAGAAACAAACGGGTTTCCTCTACAGAAATGGGTTTCACTTTCGCCAAACTTCAGAATCCCCTACAGACCCTTCAGAAACTGAAATGCTTGGCACTATACTTTTAATTTTAATTCTGCATGTTGGCCCAATGATCCATATTTTAGCGAACTCTGCAGGGATTCGGGTAACAGGGTTCCAGGACAGCTGGAGACTGGCAACAGTGGGGGGCTGTGCTGAAGATCTGGGGAGCAGTGAGGGCACAGCACCATAGGGGAAGGAAAAAAAAGAAACAAAACAGATTGGCAATAGACAAACATTTCCTTTTCTTAAATAAAAGCAAAAAGAAAAAAGATACATCATGCAGTCAGGTATTTTAAAACAGATAGCCAAGGGTTTTTAAAGTAAGGGCTTCCTTCTTATTGTGCCAAAATTGTCTTTTCATTTTTAAAAAAACTGTGAGAGATTATTTTGTACAGCTACCTTGCCTTCTTTTGCAGGCACCTGAAGCATTTTGTTACCCAAGCCCCCACAGCGCCTCTCTGAGGTCAGTGACCAGCTGGGTCCGGTGTCATCAACCAAGGAGAAAGATCTCCTAGTGTAGTCGGTTCTGTTCCGTGATGCAATAATGGGGCTCAAAGCACGTTAGACTTGTGCGCCACACTCAAACTTCTGGAAAGTTCTCCGTACCTCATTCTTCTGTCTATCAAAGTTAGTAAATAAAAATAAAACTCCATCTCTAGGGGATCCGACACCCTCTTCTGTCTCCCACAGGTACCTGTGTACCAGTGGCATACACACACACACATACATAAATATAAAAAAACTTTAAAATGTATAGCTATGATTTTTTTTAAAGCAATAAATAAAATAAACCTTATATGTGTTCATAGTCAAGGTCATGTTTTGGTCAATATTGTGTTCAGGACATTCAGTGGCCTGAAAGGTTTGACTTGACTGGTGTCTGCATCCATCAATGGTGACAATTGCCCTGATGTGTCCCTCCTATCAATATCGCCTGTGTATGCACTAGTCACGGTCTAGGGAATGAATTTCAAGATATGGTGAAATATTTTGGCTTGTTTTTTCTCAGCGCTTTGTCTTCCTTCTGCGATGCAGTGACCCGCCATGGGAACGCACGTATATAGATTTAATTATGGATCTAGTTTCCCTCTAGACTGGGCCAGAGTGACTCAAACCCAGTGTACTGAACTACTTTGACTCCTGAGTTGGAGGAGCTCATGTGTCAGCCCTGCAAGATCCTTCTTGGCACCGAGGAAAGGAGACTTATGACCTCACCAATTATACAGGACTTTCTTCTTGAGTGAGGGTCTCCCACTGCTCAGGCTGGTCTGGGCTCCGAGGCTCCAATGCAGTCTTGCCGGGGCCTCTCCACTAGCTGAGATGCTGGGCGTGTAGGTACCACTGTGTCCTGCTTCCTCGGTTCGCCAATGTGTTCCTGGCTTATGCTGTTTCTCTCTTGCAACAACCCTGGGATGTGGTAACTGGCTCTCCTGTTATAATACAAAATGGAACTATCCTGATACAATCGCTCTAATGCAGAAGCACAAGGAAAGTAATTTTCAAGAGCAAAACGAGCCTGGATCTCTTTGTGGAAACTAAAGCTGTCCCTTTGATGCCTAAAGTGGGTGGGAAACGGTGTGCAGCCATGGAATTTCTGCCAAACCCGATGTTCCAAGAACGAGCATTTAAAATGAACATCATATATTTATTCTGATCCGAAGCGAGTCTCCTGTGAATAGAGATATTTCCGGACATTGGAAATGCTGTGGACTGAGTGTGAGAAGGGTGTGGACCAGGGGGACTTGTCTGTGATGCCCTGCCTACCAGTGTTTAGCAGTCAGCCCCCACCTGTCCTTTCTCTGAAGAGCCAGGTGCTGGTCTAATTCTCCCCAGGGAGTCGTGATATCACGAGGGGATAAAGTCAGTGTTTAAAGTCCCCATGAGGAACAATCCCTAAGAGTCACCCCTGGTAGGTCATGACCCTCTCCCCCTTCCTCTCCCTCTCCCTCTGCCTCTGCCTCTGCCTCTCCCTCTCCCTCTGCCTCTCTCTCTCTCTCTCTCTCTCTCTCTCTCTCTCTCTCTCTCTCTGTGTGTGTGTGAGAGAGAGAGAGAGAGAAGCATTGATGGAGAAGGTCTATGGCCTCAGAAAGTCTCAGCTACTCCCAATCAACACAGGATTATCCTTACACTGGAGGCTCCAAAAATGAAGAAAAGAGCAATTTGGAGAGTGCCTCCCTTTTACTTACTTTTACTTAGATGGAGCATTGCCCCCAGTTAACACAGGCAGTGCATTTTCTCCTCCTTAATCACTGTCTTGGTCCCTTGGTTACATGGTCAGCTGGGTCTGATGGATGCCAGCTCTGACACCCATCTTTGAGGAGGGAGTAACCCACAGCCAATGGCAGTGATTGGAGCTGTGTGGACCACGTGGAAACATTTGGGATGCTACATCTACGTCCTCATCATCCATGACCAGATGTCCCAGGCTCCGTCTAGCTCAGCCCCTGTGTCTGGGTGACTATGAGCATCTTGTTGGCTTCTCAAGATGCTGCTTTCCTCTTTTATAAACAGCACCATCTAGCTATCCTGAAAATTAGGTAAGATGACACACGGAGGTGACTGGATTATTTTTATTCTGCCTCTGTTCTCAAGAGCATGGCTTGTCCCGTGGGAGGCAGCGAGGCAGCGTGTGTCCCTGGGCACAGGTGGGTAATGTTTGCCCTGCAGAGTTTCTCTTAGAAAAGGATTAAGGAACCTTCTGTTGTCCTCTACTTGTAGGAATGCCTCAGCTCTTGCCCTCCCCCCCAAGCAGGCTCTTGTCAAAATCCTCCGGGGGAAGGGAACCCTGACTCAGCACATTTTCCTGGCTTTGCCATTCAGAAGCTCTGACACAAACCAAACACAGGCTGTTCCTCCACAAACCAAATAGGATCCACTGTGTAAATTGAATTGCTACGGGAGCGTGGACTTATTTATTTTTCTTCAAAAGCCTTCATGCCAGCTGCTCAGAAGGTGGGCCTGAAACCGGACAGCGAGCAAACCGAGCTGATGTGTTTACTGAGCGCTAATTGCCTTCAGCTCTGAGTCCCCATCCCGCTCCTTTCCAGGATGCCCTTGTGATTTACTGTTGAACGCAACTCTAGGCCAGGACTTTTGGGATTTGGCTCCTCAGAGATTTCTCAGCTGTCTGTTTGCTTCCTACCACATAGCTTGGTGGTCAGACTCATTTATCTTACATGTTCTCCTTTTAAGAAGAAAGAAGGGGGCGGAGAGATGGCTTAGCGCTTAGGAGCACTTGCTGTTCTTGCAGAGGACTTGGATTTGGTTCCCAGTCCAATTGCCTATAACTCCAGTGCCAAGGGATCTATTACCCTTGTCTGGTCTCTGCCGTCATCTGCATCCACATGGTGCTGCTCATAGACTCACCTACACACATACACATAAAAATTTTAATAAATACATAAATAGGAGGAAAATGATACATCTCTAAAAACACTTTAACTTTATTGTTCTTTCTTTTTTCTGTTTTTTTCTAAGTGGCATTTTGGTTTTTTTTTAAAGATTTATTTATTGTGTATACAGTATTCTGTCTACATGCATGCCTGTGGGCCAGAAGAAGGCACCAGATCTCATTACTGATGGTTGTAAGCCACCACGTGGTTGCTGGGAACTGAATTCAGGACCTTTAGACGAGTAGGCAGTGCTCTTAATCACTGAGCCATCATCTCTCCAGCCCTCTAACTGGTATTCTGAAAGCTTTACTAAGCAATCTGACTAAAAGATAGCACAGTACCATCTGGCTGTAAGGACCCTTAGCGCTCCATAGTCAAGGGGGATAGGTAGGCTCCTCATGGGAATGTTTTGGATTATAATAAAACAGGTTATTTTCAGGGCAGAGCTCAGAAAAATCCGGAAGATCTGAAACTTTGCTAGGATGCTGTCCACAGGTCATAAAGAGAAAGGCACTTTTCTTCTTGTGTGCAAACAGTTTCATGGTTCACTTCTCACCAGAAAGCCTCCCTGAAGACAGACACAATCCAGCTCAGGGCTGTAGCATGGAAACAGTGTTCTCAGAACACCGTGGTAGGGTGAATCTGGGCCTGCGTTTGTTCAGGAGGACCTAGGTATTTCGCAAATGATATCTTGTCCCGATTAAGCTCCAAAGGCATTCGCAAGGCTATGAGCTGACTACCAAGAGGTCTCCAAGGACATTTGGGGCCTGCCTCCCTCCCGGCAGGTCTGGGTGGTTCACTCCAATTCATCCACTTAGGACACATGCAGGCTCAGACTATAATTGTGAGCCAGGCAAAGCTCAGAGGGCGAAGGAAGCAAGACAGTGTGTGGTCTTCTCCAGAAATCTGGTCGTCTGTGAGAGTGACGCATGCCTCTGCTTGCTCCACGGTGTGTGTAACCTTTGAAAGAATAATATTACCCGTATTCCTGGCAGCGCGATTACCAAACACTTCTTTGTGGCCCACGTATCCTTGCATGACCTGCTCACATTCGTTCTGCATCCTTGAAAATAGCCCGTCTGAGTGACAAGGGCACCCATTGCCTGCCACTCAGGTTTGTTTGTGCGTCGTAGTTTCTGGTAGGACATTTCTTCTGTTATAGTTGAGTGCTGAACATCTTTTTTCTCGTACGTAGTTAGGGGTAATTGAGCTGATTCTTATTTTATTTACTTATTATTTTGTATATGCATGATGTGTATGTGTTTGTGTGCGTACATGCATGTGTGTGTGCACGTGTGCAAATATGAACATGCCAAGAAACACGTTTAGGAATTAGTTCTCTTCCACTGT